TTGTCTCGAGCTGTAATAGGTACCCCGACACCCACCACCGCCTGCAGCTCTTTTTGTCGACCTAAAATTCTCAAGAGTTGAGTCACATACTTGACCGCTGACCTTGCAGGTAAGACCCAGGTAGCTAGAAGGTAACCTAGACACATCGACTCGAGAGAAAAATACAACAATACTCGAAGTAATAATAATGACAACAAAAACAATAAATAAAAAAAAACAATAATAATAACAAATAATAATAACAACAATAATAACAAAAACAATAACACCACCACCACCAACAATCACTGCCCAAACGTCATCTACTTTATGCAACACACCTTCGTTATTTCCTCCTGACGGTGCCCCCAAACGTACATAACCATTACTGACGCTAAGGCTGCCGTCACCTTCCACAGTTCCGTTAGACAATCAGATATTTTACGAGGTATTTCACTCTGCTGGGGCGGCACACGACCTCTGGGAAGGAAGGAAGGAAGGAAGGAAGGAAGGAAGGTAATAAGTGTACAATGGTTAAGAGAGAAGGCATATAATTCTTAGTTGTAATTAATATCAAGGTATAATGTCGTATGGTTGTTTAATCTATCTAATTCTCACGTTACCAGGTTGTTATATGGTTCCTTAATTAAATGTTTTATTATAAATGTTTATGTTAATTAAATGTTGTGTTAATTAAATGTTTATATCAACTAAATGTTTTGTTATTATAAATGTTTATGTTAATTAAATGTTTATGTCAATTAAATGACTTGTTATTAGAAATGTTTAAGTTCGCCAAATGTTTTGTTTACTACTTATGAAAAATAAATAAAAGATAAATATCTACACAGGGAGAGATTCAAGAAGTGGGAGACATAGATACATTAAAGAGAGAGAGAGAGAGAGAGAGAGAGAGAGAGAGAGAGAGAGAGAGAGAGAGCAGCAGCAGAACCCCCACACCTCTACCAGGTAATAGTTGTATTAATTACTGTTATTTCCTCCTATTAACGTTCTTATACCAGGTATGTGTCTTCGATCCGCCCGCTTCTTCCTCTCTTGTATAACTATGTATTACAGTCTATGTATGTATGTATGTATGTCAGTCTATGTATGTATGTCAGTCTATGTATGTTTGACAGTCTATGTATGTATGACAGTCTATGTATGTATGTATGTATGACAGTCTATGTAAGTATGTCAGTCTATGTATGTTTGTATGTATGTTTATTTATGTATGTATGTATGTATGTATGTATGCTTATGTACGTTTATATGTATGTATGTTTAGATATATGCATTTATGTATGTATGTATTTTTCATGTCTATTTACATAGTTATTACCTAATGTTTACTTAATTAAAGAAAGGAAATGACAACTGCTTCAGATATTATACGAGAGAGAGAGAGGAAAGAAGGAAGGAAGGAAGGAAGGAAGGAAGGAAGGAAGGAAGGAAGGAAGGAAGGAAGGAAGGAAGGAAGGAAGGA